GAGCTGGAGTGTACGCCGTCCCAGTGGGTGTAAGGACAGAGGAGGGCCTCACTCAAATGGCTGTTGGAGGGAAGGTCCAGTTCTTTGTCACATGGGTTTCCACACAGAGCTGCTTAAGTGCCCCAGGACGTGGCATCTGGCACCCCCAGAGCAAATGAGAGAGAGGGCGGGAGAGAGGTGTGTGGAAGCCATGACTTGGCCTCAGAAGTCACATACCATCACTTCTGCCGTGTTTGGCTGGTCATACATTCCAACCCCGATGCCCCGTGAGAGGACCACACAAGGGCGTGAGTAATCCGATGCCACCGTGGAAGCTGCTGGCGCAGGCGCAGGCGCAGGCAGGGCGCCTCACCTGGAGCACAGCGTCTTCTTAACTCCGTCCTGCCCAGCTCACGTCGTCCCTGCGCCGGCGGAGGGAGGAGCAGGCGAAGTCTGCCGTGACCGGGGCGTGGGCGCACGAAGACCTTCTGCGACTTGCCCGCGCCCGCGTGCAGCAGCCAGAGCGTCTGTAGGCCTGTCTCCGCCCGCACCCCATCTCTGCCTCTGCGGCACCCAGCATGGGCCCGGCAGAGCGGCGGCCGAACCCGCTGGCAGTGGGCCGAGCCCTGCACACCTCCCTCCGCGCCCCTGCCCGGGCCACAGCAGAGGCAGAGGTAGGCGCCACCTGCCCCTGAGGGCACCGGGGGGCGGGCTCTTTGGATACGTGAGAGGAGAGCGAGCCGCCCCCCAACTGTGCACTGTTATGGGGCTTCAGAAGGGAGGAGATGGGCAGACGCCCCGGCCAGTGGGCGCCCGCGGGGCTCGATCCATCCGCGCTCACCAGTGTCCGCCCCCCGCACACCACCCTGCTGGAGTGCGGCTTGTCTTTCTGGTGTCCCAGGGCCCCTTCTGGGGCTTCTGAAATAGCACCTGAAAGGTCTCACCTGAAACCCCACCTCGGACACCCGCAGGTGCCCGCCCGGCAGGCGGAGGCCAGGCCTGTCACCCTGGTGGGGCCCCACTGCCCCTCCTTCCCTCCTGGACGCCGCGCCAAAGAAACCAGACCCCAAAGCCAAAGTATCAGAAACGTGTATTCTTTTTCTTTTAATAGTAAACCTCTTTACAACAAATATAGTGAAAGAGTTTTCAAACAAAACTCATAAGAATCTCGAGGACTTTGTCTTCTCTTATTGTGTAGCATACTAAGAAATCACCATACAGCACGAAAGAAATATCGAAAACAAATCGACAGCCACACGCTTGGACTCGCCCCGCCCAGGCCCTGGGAGGAGCCCCAGGAGTGTGGGTGATTGTCGGGTTTGGAGTGGGGCCCCTCCGTGGCCTGTCCCCCTCCCTCTGGGACGTGAATGGGGAAGACAGAGAGAATCCAGATTCTCCACAGAACATTCCAGCCCCCTCCCCCAGCACAAGCCCCGCTCCTTCTAACTGCGTAGGGGGTAGAGAGAGGCGTCAGGGAAGAACACAGGCGTTCCCAGGCTCCAAGTCCCCCCCACCGCCCACGAAAGCCCGAATTCGCCCCCACCCCGCCCAGGGGGTTCCAAAGTCAGTTAAAAATATATAGATATAGATATTTCTAGATACACTTTTACATCATTTCTGTCTCTCCAAACAAATAAATAGTCAGCAAGAGAAGGTGCATTACTTCCTGTCCAAGGTGGGGAGGTCCGGGTAAGGGTCAGGGGTCAGTCTCACTGCAGCGAGTGCATTGCTGGGGGAGGGAAAACGGCGTGTTCGACAGGGTGCGGGGGTCCCCTGCCCACTGTCCCTGAAAGCTGTGGGAAACCTGGGCAGGCGGGGGCATCGGGCGACTCCAGTGATTACTTTGGCAAATGCCCAGTTCTCGGGAGGAAGGAGTGGGAGGCGGCGAATTTGGCTTGTGAGAGGAAGAAGAATGGAACCCTACTCGAGGGCTGGGTTCCCAGGGACCCTTCGTCTGGCCGGCCAGGAGCCCCTGTCCCCAAGAGCAATCTTGGGGTTCTGAACTGCAGAAATGTCACATAGTCATTCACAGACTACCTCCTACCCCCGGGGATCGAGAAGAAGGGACACACACACATCCGCACATGGAAATCAGAAGCCAGGTTTGCCGGTCCAGGGCAGAGGGCAAAACGGGGGAATATTGCACCGTGAACCGCAGGGGCCTCAACCCCGGCCCGCACCTGGTGGCGGCCAAGCCCGGCCCGGAGAGGCGGGCAGACTGGTGATGGAGACGCCTGAGCAGGGAGGGCCGGTCGCTCAGCGACTGTCGAGCACCCATCATTCGCCCACTCAGCATTTACTGAGCGCCAAGTACGTGCCGGGCACCGGGCGAGGCCTGGGGATGCACAAGCACACGAGACATCCTGTCTGCTCCCGAGGCCTTGGTCAAGTCCCATTGATCCTTGAAAGCCCCCGGAGGAGCCTGCAGGAAGCCTGGACATGGCGTGTGCCCAGTCAGCAGGTGGGGGATAAGCCGTGAGGAAGGGTGGCTCGCCGGCCGGGCGAGGAAAAAGCTTCCGGGAGGAAGGGGAACTTGAGTGTCACCGTGAAGGAAGGGCTGGGGTGAGGGAGAGAGGGGACCCCGGGGGAGGGGGCTGTGTGCAAGGTGTGGGTCCTGGGGGACTACGTGCATGGAGCCCGGGAGAGGAGGGGCTATGGGAAGAAGTGGGGGGGGGGCCAACTGCCGGAGCCCTGACTGTGGGACAAAAATATCGGGGTGAGGACAGGTGAAGGAGCAGGGCAGAAGGGGGGGCCGTGGAGAGGGCCGTGGGGCTGGAAGCCAGGGCTGCGTGGCTGTGACAGCCACCTGCCCCTGTGTAAACACACACCCAGGTGCGCACACACGCACACGTACACAGATCCTCGGAGCTCGATTCCCACGAAGATTCATGCGGATGGCCAGACAGGCTGAGAGACCTGCGCAAGCTACACACACACACACGCACACACACACACGGGGACACTCAGACACGCCGACGTCAGGTGCCCTCGTGCACATGCGTGTGCACGTGCCGCCACACGCCCCCTCTGCTTCTTTCTCTGCCTCGTGTCGGAATACTGCAAGCAGCTGGGTCATAGTGGCCGGCACAGTCGCCCGCCACAAAGCTGGGCCTTGTCTACTCTGCTTTCCCACCAGGCTGAAACCCCGAGGGAGCACGGCACCCTCAGGCAGAGGACCTGGGCTTGCCGGAAGGAGGCGCAGACCCCAGGCGGCCTGCCACGCACCCCAGGCCAGGCCCCTCAGGGCCAGGGCTGGTGTGGGTCACAGGCTGGGGGCCTGCCCCCTCCAGGGTGGTCTGTCGTAAAGCCCGAGGCCTCAGGAGCTGGGAGGCAGCAGAGAGGGGCAGACTGGGGGGAGCAGGGGGAGCGAGAACAACAGCGAAGAACCTCATCTGTACAGTACGGGCGTTTGAGTCGTTATTATTACAATATACTTCGACAAAAATAGAATCTCATTTCATATCAATACAACAACAACAAAAAACCAGTTTCCTGGACTGTTAAACTGCTAACGCTTCCCAAGGTTGCTATGTACAATTACAGTAGCCAAGAGGGGAGGTGGGGTGCGGGCTGGGGCGGCGGGGCAGGAGGTAGCGAGACAATGGGGGTGCCAGGAGCAGGGAGGTGGAGTTGGGCGAAGGGGCTGAAGGGCTGGGGGGGGG